TTTTTTTTCCTTCTTTCCATAAATTTTAAGCCTAAAAATTAGTATTCAAATTCTTCTGCTTAGTGTTTGTATGGTTGTTGTAATCCTAAGGTTGTAAATGCAGTTTGAGTCTATGCTTGAAGGAAAAATTAAGTAGTAGTAGTGTTTTTCTCACGAGTTGTTTACTACGATGAATTGGAAGTTTTACTGTTTAGTGATGAAATTTGAAGTTTTAAAATTTGACAAAGCAACTCAGATTCCTCAATTTATACCTGATATCTGTCAACAGATCTCAAAATGAAAATGTTTTATTTTACTCCTATTAAGTAGTCGAAGAAGAAGACATAAATAAGGAAAAAGGAACATTCTGAGAGAATTAGGATTCAAACCCTTCTGAGTAGAAGCACTTTTAGTCTGGTCATTTCGTGCACCGTAGGGTATGGCTTAGTGGTCGATGAAGTGAGAGGAGAACCACGAGGTTTCACGTTCAAATCTTATACGGTAGGAGGCAAAATATACTAGGTAATTTCTACCTATCTACCTATTACGTAGCCGGTAATAGTCAAGGTATGTACATGTTACTAGTGGCATGAAGAGGACTCTCAACCACTATGAACAAGAATGGCCGGTACTCGAACACCATTGTCATACAAGAAAAACACCAACCACTATACTTAAGGAACTGTTCTGATTTTTTCCCCTCCAAAACAGATGGAAAAAGAGTTGCCGTTGAAGGGGATAGAGATGATAGGATCAGCGGTTTACCAAGAAATGTTATAGATCATATCCTTGAGCTTTTACCGGTTCAAGATGCTGCAAGAACTAGTATTTTGTCGAGTAACTGGAGATATATTTGGTCTACTCTTTCAAATCTGGTGCTGGATTACGACTTCTGTCGTAAGTTAATAGGAGAGTCCGAATCCAAGTTCAAACTAGCAGTAGATGAGATCCTGCTACTGCGCATGGGGAATATTGTGAAGTTCGTTCTTGACATCAGCGGAGCATATTTGTCGTGTGCAGATATTGATAGATGGGTGCTTTTTGTCACCAGAAATGGCGTCAAGAAGCTAACCCTTCGCATTTCAAATCTCAATACATATACTCTGCCCCTTTCTATTTTTGAATGTTCAACATTGACAAGTTTGGAACTCACCAACTGTGTCTTCAAACCACCCAGTTCTTTTCTTGGTTTTCCGAATCTTATCGCACTTCATCTGGAAGTTACAACCTTTGTGCCAACCACATCATTTTGCGTTATCAACGCCCCCCTTCTTCGGTACTTGTCCTTGGACATGTGTCCTGGTACTCAGTACCTAAACATTATTTCACCGGTGTTGAAATCCTTAGGCGTTCGAGATAGTCACTACTATCTCATGCTAAATTGTTTTATCAACTGCAAAAAATTGAGAGTGGTCAAACTTCTTTGTGAAGTGGTTGATAATCAAAATCATGATGAAAAATTAACTCTGGAGAAGCTTCTTATTAGCTTGCCTGCACTTGAGGTACTCTATTTGAGTTCATATATCCTTGAGGTAAGAAACTCATTACTTGTTTTTTCACTTGAATATTTGCTTATAGTGATTGTAAATTCATGTGGTTCTGATTAATATTTGCTTCATAGATTTTGAGTGCAGATGTAGTTCCAAATGGGCTTCCTTTTACGCTCAACTTTTTGAGGCATCTGTCGCTATTTGTAGCCTTTGACCATCTGGGTCAGACTTCTTATGCTCTACAGCTAATTAAGAATTCCCCCAGTTTGAGTAAACTTGAGATTTGGGTAAGTAATATTAGTAAATTATGCGGTCTTGCACTTGATATGTGTATGATTTGGTTCATTTTTGCACTTCATATTTGGGAACATGGAAGGGGAGCCTTGGAGCAACGACAAAGTTATTTCTGTGTGACCTATAGGTCACGGGTTTGAGCCATGGAAACAACTACTAATACTTGAATTAGGGTAGGCTGTCTACATCACATCTTTGAGGTGCAATCCATTCCCGGGACCCTGCGTGAATGTAAGATGCTTTGTATACCGGGCTACCCTTTTATTGGTAAAAACGAAAAGCTAAAACGACTTGGTGATTTCTTTTTGTACAATTAGGTATTATCTACCACTGATAATGACGAAGCAGTTTTGAAGTATCTGGATACGCCGTCCTGCTTGGAACAGCCAATCAACAAGCTCGAGCATGTGACCATCAAATCTTTTGGTATCTCAAAAGTTGAGCTGCGTTTTGTAAAGCTATTGCTTTCTCGCACTCCATCTCTGCTAAGGATGTGCATTAGTCAGAAGACAGACATAGACGTTGATATCGCCTTAGAGTTGATGCGTTTTCCCAGAGCTTCTCCCAGGGCAGAGCTGTCCTATTTTCGATATTAGGATTAGGATTTTAACTCAAAGGAAGGGATGAATGGCAAATTTTGTAAACATGTGGTGATAAATATGTTCTTCCCTCGATATTTTGAAAGACCAGTATTTGTCAATGTCTTTGATATGATTCTCAGTCTTTTGGTATATTGTTTAATCGTCTGCTTCTGATTAAAGTTTCCTGGCTATTGAGAAATAGTCCATTCGATGGTTTAGCAGAATGTGTTATTTTCTTAACAGCAATCACATATATATGTTGCCACTTGCCAGTTAAGATTCTTGTCACTATTGCACAGATTGTTGTGGTATACAACTTAACTGCTAGTGATCTAATCTTCTATTTATACATTTTATACCTACCTCATTACTCATTTCGACCCAATTTATTTAGGAATTCTGCTGTATCAAAGTTTATTGACTCGAATGTTTCATGTGTTTTCCCCCCCCTTGAGTTATTGAACAGAGAAAGCCAGGGGTTGCAGGAAGAGGAATTATTGTTTACTGGCTATTAACTTCCTATAGCTACCATATACATAATTACTTTCCGTAGCTATCTTTCAGTTGTTATGGTAATGTATTTGGTGTATTCGAGCTACTGTATTCATGAATACAGTAGCAAAAATCGGCTAAAAAATAGGGTAGTCCAGCTGTCAGCCGTTGTATTCACATGTATTCATACTATGTATTCATGAATACAATGTAATGATAGGTCTCTTCAGTTGTTTAATGACGGAAAACTGCTAATTTAACGGGATACACTCCTAATATAACTACCTAAATCAATTATAACACACAACATTATCAATCCAATTAATGTGAAGATTTATCAGACGCTAAACACAAAAGAACAGAGCATTCTTCAGAGTTTCAGTCCCTCTTTTTTTTTCTGATAGAGTTCGAGTTTTTTTTCTTGACATTGTTCGAGGTTCTGCTCGGAATTGGCCTAGTGCTTGTATTCTGTTGTATACAACCTGTAATAATAACCTACTGCCCGCATATTTCATAATAAACTTAGTACTTGTATTCTGTTGTATCTAACAGTTGTGTTCAATGTATTCAAGTTTATTTTTGTATTCACAA